ATTCAATACTTTTGGATGTCCTCACCGCATCATTACTGACAGGGATACTGCTTTCACGTCATCGTCCTTTAAAAGTTTCTGCGACAAATACAATATTAATTTAGTCCTAAACGCTGTGGCCAGTCCAAGGGCAAACGGGCAAATCGAACGACTAAATCGGACCTTTGAGTGATTCTGATAGAGATGGCGACCTACCGCTTTCAGATTCATCTGAAAGTTAAGTTGCGAGAAAGAGAGACACTCTGTATGATAACTTGCCTATTATAAAATGGAGGGAAAGAAAGGTACCTACCTGACCTGGCAAAAAAGACAGGGGAACAGAGTTTGTTGAAAAAGTGTGCTGAAAGGTTCTCTGTATCCCTGTGACTAGGCGTATGCGATATTGAAGATAACTTGAGGTATGAGAGATAATAGAGTTGTACTGTAATAATGTAGTATTGATTTGATATTGTGCACATTTTATGTTGTTGATTTGGTTGAATTATACAACCTGCCTACAATTGTTGTAGGGAACCTCTCCTCATTACTGAATGTAATGTTGTAGCCTTATCTATGATTGTTGTAAGGAATTGGCGCCGTTCTTCAAGTTGTGGCTTGCGCTTGGGGTCCTCGCATGCGGCTTGATTGACACAATTTGGGTTTGAGTGTCTCAGAACTATTGTTACACTTTTACTCTGTTGTTAGAATGCTAACTGTCTAGCGACAGTTGGGCGTTCGGGAAAGCCTCTACTTATTTTAGGTTAATTGGCAGAATGAATTGCTTTGTGAAGATACACAGAAAGAGATCAGTAAGTTATTTAATTAGCGAATTTTATAAAAGACTACATGAGGGTAAAGTATAGTATGTGGAGAATCTTCTATTTATTATACCTATATACCTATGCAATTTATAATTCCTTCTATACCATTACACTCAAAAAAACACTCGTTAAATTAACTTATTTGTAAAAAAAACTTTAAAAGATGCGAAAATCCGTTTTGTTGCCGGCTATTCCATTAGTCTGTCGGCATTTTTAATTAAGCCAAATGTAATTTTAGACGGTGCCGCTAATTAAACTAAAAAATCTGTTAGTACACCCTTTGAAGCCTCGTAATTACAAAAAAAAGTGCTTTTGCAGTTAATTTTTACAAGTAAACATTGAAACAAAGCTCACGAGACATTAGCTTTCGTGAACTGGTAATATCGAGTCACCCCAAGTTTGTATTGGACCTTATTGCATCCGGTACAAGCCACCTTATTGAAGCGCGTACGGATATTGTATAGCTTGTGGCTTGGCAAATTTAAGTCGACCCCCAGACTTTGAAGTATTTGCTTTCACAGGAAAAAAATTATTTATAGATCTAGAAAAAACCACTTAGAGTATACATTTCAAAACAAGCAAAACTAAATGAAGTTGCGAAAAGAAACATAAATGTAAATCTCGGGGCCCTTAATTCAATTTGTTCCAACCGAACGGTCACGAAACTTTTCGAGATCTGTTTCTGTTATATTTATTACCAGACAATTCCGACGGTCTTCTTCTTTTTAATGGATTTTCCTTTTGTCTTAACCGTTCGCCATATATCATACTAAAACTTTACCCCAGTTCTTTACGTGCTAAAGAATCTGGGTTCCGTATTGTTCCAGAGGGGAACTTTAATGTCTGATAATTGAATTATAGAAATTGATGTTAGACAATGCATAGAATTCACTAATTTGATTTCTCTTGTGATGTATGGGAAATACCAAACATAAATTTTATCCCGAATGTGAAACTGCTTTATTTATTTAGGAGATGAATTAGCTAATTTAATTTTACTGTTACAATGTGTCCAACTAAAGTTTACAGAGTAAAATTATTCTATTCATTAAAATTCCTATTTTCCACAATCTGTCATCTTTATTTGAATAATGCCATCCTAAAAATGCAAAACATTTTAGAATGTTTCTTTAAATTGCCTGACTAAAAGTCATCTAAACTATCTCATCTCCATGATACTAACCTGTAGTTATTCTATGAAAACGCAGTTTATGTTTTGGTATTTTATTTCATGAATAGAAATTGTAGTTCTATGCAAAATGAAGCTGCAAGATAGCGAAGAACTGCAGTGTGTAATAAAATATTTTACTGCTTGGAGTGTCTGCGAACGGGATATTTTTTTAGTAGGAGTTTTTGCACAAATGGGATATTGATGTAAAAAATTTAATCTGGCAACCGGAAAGATTAAGCTTTTCAATTTCTGAGTTACAGCGGATAAAAGTGGAAAGCTTTTATATATAATATTTGAAGAAAGAAGTTTGAAATGTATTTTATTTTGTGTGTATAATAAGCAATGAAATAGACACAAAAATTACATGTAGCTAGAAAAGGTGCTTTTGGTCTTTGAGTTGGCAGTCCAGGGGTGGCGCATTCTTAGTTTGGTGACTTCCTTATTTAAGCCCGGATAGGTATTTATATTCAAGTAGGTATCTATACTACATTTTTTTGCTCATAGGCGCCGGAACCATGGAGGCAATGGGGGCTTGAGGAGCCCCCGTACTGAATTTGCTATGCGCCCCCATAGTGATTTTGGCATTGTATGTATAGTATTTTTAATGCCCATTTAGAATAATCCCATCTTTATTCATCAATCGCGAATCAGATGAAACAAAAAATTACCAACAAAAACGAACGTCGATTGCTGTACAAATAGGAAATTCCTAACCTAATTTTATTTATGTGTTCAAGAAGCGACATACGTTTAGTCACTAGAACGACTGGTACTTCTAAATAGGTATTAAAAATTCTATAGTGGGTGTAGTGAGTAGTTACAAAAATATTGAGTTCCTGATCCTAATATTAATAACCATTTATTTTTATATAAAACTTGTGTGTTTTATGTTTTTGTTGTTTTTGCTATACCGAGTTTGATAAACAGTTTGAATATGTTTTTGTTTAGGATAGTACCTATAGTAAATTTTAGGGACCTTAATACAAAAAGCTTAGATGACAGATATACCCATTACGTAACATAACGGATCTCTTGAACAACCTGGGACGCTGCCAGTATTTCACCACCTTAGATTTAGGTAGCGGCTTCCACCAGATCCGGATGCATGGAAACGACATCAAAAAACCGCATTTAGCGCAGAAAACGGGCATTATGAATTCTTGCGCATGCCATTTGGTTTGAAGAACGCGCCGGCTACATTCCAAAGAGTTATGGATGATATTCTATATCCCAATATATTGAGCACTTTAACGCCGAAAGATAAAACATCCCATTGATAATAGTTATTCATTACACAAGGGATAAAAGTATTAGATTTTAGAGCGAGATGTGGTTTGCCTCCCATCGCAAAGCCACGCCACCAAGGAAATGAACCAAAAAAATATCAGTTTTTTTTCTTTAGTTCCGCCAATAACCACGCCACTGATCTGTCGTTCAGGCCCTAACGTTAGGCTATAACCAATAGAATCATACCTCTGAATAATCACGCCTCTCCACATCCATCATTTCGCAATGTTGCTAGATTTTTTCTATTTCAAAATACTACACATGCCCATATATAGCAAAAAAAATATGTCACCAACTTGTTTATTACTGTTTCCGTCAAGTCTGGCAAAAGCAGCAAATTCTATTGCAATTCGCCGTTTGGCTAGCCAGACAATAGATATCAGTAGATATCAACTGATAAAAAAAAAACACTCTCATGCCTCCTAAACATTGTATTTCTTCTCAACAGCTAGAGAACAACCTAACCTAGAAGATATTTTTCATCATATCGTAAAGTATTCAAATAACATCATTTCAGATATTTTTTAGCCCGATGCCTAATTATTATTATGGGCTGAGCTGATTGTAAGAGCCTTTACCAAGCTTATGAATACAAATATATAAGAATTGCCGTGAACACATTGTCTCAGTTTTATTTCCTGGATGCTACAACAAACAACAAAACTTAAATTGATTCCACTACCCTATTCTGAAGATGCCATACTAAATTTGTCATATACTTTCTCGAAATAAAAGAGAACCGAAAAACAATCCCCTCAAACAAAAAAAAAAGAAACGAAAATCTTCCTGGGACAAACACCAAACTTCACTCAGGAAATTTCTATAATAGGCTTTGGTGGAAAACAAATACGTCGTAGCCTGTCGCATCTTCTGGGCGGTGAAAAACTATCGGGAAGCGATTATAAAAAAAAGACAGGAGAGAGTATTAAAAGCAAAGTTAGGTCGACATCGAACAATTCCATCAAGAAGGGCGCCCCGAAAAAAGATTTCCTGACACGGCGACGAGTATAGGGGGAAAAACCCCGGAAAAACTAGATTTGGTGACGCGAAAAATATAACTGACAGCGTTTCACTTGGATTGGTTTTAGTAAAATGAGATTGTCTGTCTGTCGTTTTCAACGTTTCTTTTTTCGAAACAAAAGCAATTTTGACAAACAAAAAATTGTATTTACTGGAGAAAAACCTTCTGTGCTGGGTGGTTCCATAAAGCACAAACTATCGGCATTTAGAATTTTGGTCAAGATGGGTTTTGCATGGCTGACATTGCCAATAGGTAAATGCATTCTCCGATAAAAATATGTATTCGCGTAAAATCTAGAAGGTCTGTAATAGGTATAATATACCGTGGGCTTACAAGAAAAAGGCACTAAGTCAAAAAACATGATTTTGAGATATAGATAAAATTAACTTTTTGTCATACTTAATAAATTTTGTAATAATTATATTTTGAAGATACTACTGCTATTTGATACTATTATGTTTTGTCGTACTTATAACAAGTTACCATGAATTTGAAAAAAAAATCAAGTACTTAAATTTGGATAAATTTGAAAAAAAACATCGACTTAGTGCATTTTACTTGTAGAGTTGTGATAGCAAATTTCAATAAAACTCATATTCTTCCAAATTTTTTTATTAGAAAAATGAACAGAAACAAAAACTAGGTAGTACTTAAATATCAATCATTAGATTTCTTCTTCTGATTCGTCAGAAATGGCTAAATCTGGCAAAGTATCTGTTACCTTATTATCAGATTGTATACCTTGGAAAAACTGGTGAAAGATTTCAGGAATTACACCCTTATTGCACATCGTTAACAAGTCTTTTTTTTTGGCATTACTAATTTTTAGGCTTTCGTGATATAGTTTAGGTAAGCCATCTTTACACGGCTGATCTTGGACTGGTCTTCTTCCACGTCGGGTAGTTGAGATTTGGATGCCGACATACTCACCACTATAGTCATACCGGTACTGGAAGTAATTTGGCTTATCTTTCACATATTTGAAGTTCTTAACCTTAAGCCAGTTAATTTTCTGTCCGTTTTCATCGATTGTTTTATTTTTTAATAATTGAGTGGCTAGTTGTTTAAGGTCAAAAAATTCGTCAAATTTTATCTCACCTACTTCGTATGGTGGTTTGTTTTTATTCCTGCCTCTTTGAGAACGAGCTAATTTGAAAATGTTCATCCAATCGTTGACGCAATATACGGAGACAAATTTTTTCTGCTGCTCTATAGCACTATGCATGGAGTCAACTTCCATGAATGAGTGCCCGCTTTCCAGAAACTTTTGTTCGATAATTTCCAGGTGAGAATTTTGAACCGCATAGAGTAGCAAAGCAGCTATTTGCTGGTTCCGGTTCTGGCCGCCACAAGTGTCGGAGAACAATGATAAATGTTTTACTTCTGGAGGCAAAGTTTGGATGTATTTCCACAAGCATGTGCCTATCTCGCAGCTTCCTTTTTTGCCGTTTATTTCGGTCCAGCAATAACAAAAAGCTTTATTTGGCGGTGCTGCCTCATAAACGGTGAAATTGTACATTGTTAACTTTCTCATGTAATACGTCAGTGATACCTCAGATGACGGAATTTGCAGCACACTTTGTAGATCGAATGTTACTGACATGAACGATTCATCCACTTTTGCCTTCTCCTTGTCTGCTGCTTTAGCTTGCTGGGATTCGTTTTTTCTCCCTAAATGCTGTTCATAATCCTCCTTCAGGCGTTGTTTTTCCTCAGGACTAGCTTGCTGATATCTTGAACAAATTAAACATTGATCTTTTTTTGGATGGAAAAAAGATAAATTGTAATTGTTGCAGAATACTCTACGATAAGTTATTAGGCTAGCAATATCGGTGTCACCATCCTGTTGGCGCTGTTGTTTATATAATTCATACATCTTTGTGATGGTTAAATTGCAGTCCAAGTACTTCCTTTCGCTGGATTTGCGGGTATAGTGACTCTCCATAGCGGGAAAGCTTTCTATGTGGGCGTTTACTTTTGCAATAACCTCAGGTTTTGTTTTATTGGATGGTGATTTTCTTCCCCTTTTGTCTTTATTTCCAAAATGGCCCAATGCATCTTTTCCTTCAAAGGCAGACAATATTACACGATTTGAAATACATAGCGTTTTCATGAAGAAGTTCTGACAAACCTGTAACTTCTCCCCATCTTTATTAAAATAGTATTTTTTGGAATTTTGCCTTCTTTTAGCATTATCTTTACGTAAGCGTCTTGATAAGGGCTCATGACTTGTCACATTGTAAAGTATAAAGTCTTTTTTTCTCTCATACGAAGCCAAAATCCAATATTTCCTACATATCAATTTTCTTTCTTCCATACAGAATTTTTCGGTGCATTTTAATTTGCATTTTGAACAATCCACTGGCTTTGGTAGCTTAGCCACTTGAAGAATTCCTTTGGAATTTTCGTACGGTAAGCATTCATCTCGTAGTTTTCTATTTTTTTGTCGCTTCCAGTTTTCAGGCGTTGCTTTTTTCCATCTGCATTTTTTCTTAGGGTGTTCTTGTTGAATTTCTTCGGTTTCAGTTTGATTAGCTGCTTCTTGTTCAATATCAAAATTTGAGCTAGCATCGGACAGATCGCTCATGTTTGGTTCATAGTTTTTATCGGCAATTGAATCATCACAGTCACTGAAATTATCATCATATTGTACAAATGTGCTGGTGCTTGGAAGATGTAAATCGTTGTTGTTTATTAATACATCTAGCGGGCCACTCATTGTTGAACAACTTTGAAGTTCCATCACCTCAGTGCCCTGGCATATTAAAATTATGGATAAGGAAAGAGCTTAAATTTACCAAATTAAAATAGCTTACAGACACAGCCTGCTTGTTAGTGTTCATCTCGGATCCTCCTTGGTCCATTATCATCGAACTCTCATCTTCAAGAATTTCAGTATTATTTTCTTCATGCTCTATGCGTTCGGACACTATTGGAGTATGTTCTGAAGTTAATAAAAATTGATATAACGAAAAACTTTCTATAATAGCGAAAAATTTTCTATAATAGCGAAAAACTAAAAAAAAATCCAAAAAACTATTAACTTTGGAAATAAAAACATAACCTCAAATCAATAAAAATTATTTTCCAATTTCTATTGCTTACCTGATTGTTCCTCTTTTTGCTCGTCATCATTTTTCAACAAGGCTAATATTTTAGCACCCCGACCAAACATTTTTTATTCAAATTCAGCTTGCACAACATGAAAAAACACAATATTATGTCCCACTAAGTCACCGTTTTGATTTTGTTTACAAAAAATTGCTTGAATTTGCGTACAAGTAAAACGCATTAAGTGACTTAGTGCCTATTGCTACGTAACTTGTGAAAGAAGAGGAAAATGTAATAAGCACTAAGGGACTTAATGCGTTATGCCAGTATGCGATTGGTATCAAAACAAAATTAGTGCGTTTTATCTAGTGAATAACACTCTTCTCTGCCCATTTAGGACTTAGTGCGATTTACCTGTAAAAAGATCATCAATTACTGATTTTAGTGACGTGAAAACCCCATTTTTGTAATAAGGCTGAATATGGATTTGAAAGGTTCTTAGGCGATGAATAATAAATCGAATTTCTATTAGCAATTTCTGCTCACAGATTCGATTATTTGGGCTGCGAAGAGATTATGGTTACATTTGAAAACGGATTATTTTCAAAGTAAAAAAAAAAAACATGCAAATATTCAGGAATTTCATTATGGGATTAAAAAAAACAAGATTTCTGATATTTCACGATTGAATGGTTTCGTATGCGCGTAGTTTACAAGTCAATCAGTCTTTGAATACAAATTTAAATTGTTGTATAAATGCTTAGAACAGGTAAAGGTAAAGGAGTAGTAACATGGAGTTGGAAAATGAAGCCGTTTTTTTTTCATGTATTTTGGCACCAAAAAAATGGCAGTATAGGCTTTACCTGTATTTTGGTGCCAAACACCTGCCAAAAACTTGGCTTCACTTTAGTTTCATAAGCAGAATGGCGCGTTCCTACTCCTTATGTCCGTAGGACAGCGCTTTACCTGCTCTGAGTATAAATGCAAGTAAATTCGATGACTGAGTGTGAATTTTGTAAAGTCAAGTGGAATAATTAACGAGTCAGTTGTTGTATGATAGCATGAGACGATTGGCGAGATAACTAGATAGTTACAGCTAATTGGGGGGATAATTAGCCAGATTATCAGTCGAATTAATTTTAGCTAATTATTGGGAACGAGAAGTGAACTTTTGTTTAGCTGAAATAGTGACTATTACTGTTTTGCCATCCACAAAAAACTCCATAGAGTGGAAGGAGAATATTTCATCAATTTCGATTACCCTCAAGCTTTATATTTGAAATCAAGTTACAAGAAATATTTCGCTTATTGGTAATTACGTAAGACAACAAACAGCTAAAATGGAGAAAATTGATAAAATGTTGGTGAATTTCATGAAAAATAACCAAAGATCCTTCCGTGAGCTTCTTAACAATACTATGGTGTACTTGTTGATGCGTTAGAGTATGGTTATGGGGATTAGCAGGGATGGAGTTAAATGCAATTAAAGACAGCCTGAAGGAACTTCTGGGAAAAAATACGGAAAGTTGTTACCAGAAGCAATCAAGAATCAAGGGGACTCTGAATGTTACCGCCGCGGAAGAAGAGGACATTTCAACAAGACTGAGATTCCGCTCTCCTTCTGATGATTCTTTATCATTCTTCGATGGAGAAGTTCCAACAAAACGATTTTCAAATCAAACAACGTTCTGGTGATTTGCATAATAACTAACAACCTTATCTATACGGCATTGCCCACTTCAATGCAAGCTTGCTGTCTCAGAATGGATCATGGTGAAAGAATTTTCTATTGGAAATTGGAAAAAACGGAACAAGAAGATTGAAGAACTGGTCAAGAAGGTCAATATCATCCTTCAAGCAGCCGCTCTAAAATTTGTTACAATGAGGAACTATAAGGGTGCTACGATCATCCGCGCATGCGCAGAAAGGGCAGCTGGCAGCTAACTAGGAACAGGTGAATTTTTCTTGTTTCCGTGACGATAGTTCATGGAAAGAAGAACCACGAAGGCGTGATACACGGGAAGATATGGGGGCTCCTTCGTTGTTGTGTGACCTGGTTCTAAAGACTCTGAAAAGTATAGTGCTGCTGGGTAGTAGAGGAATTGAGAATGATACCTAGAAGGGATTATTATTGATCTGAGTGAAGTTATAGATATTAGACCGTCAGATAGTGATATATTTAGGTGCCCCATTTTCGCATACAAGCCTTGAAAGGTACATAGATTTTGAGTAGGATGAAGATATTTTTACGAGTGGCTCCTGGGGATAACGTATGGAAAATTCGATTTTCCCTAACAGAAAATGAAGACGTCCTGGTGCCCATATTTTCTCGCAAGCCGTGTTCACCAAAGAATTACTTAATTAAACCTGGCTTCGTAAAACAAAGAAGGGGGTGTTGCAGGTGGCTAAAGGTTTGAGATAAGGGCGTAATTTTGTAAGGAAAAAATCGAGATTTTGAGCGATTATTCCACACAAGCCCATCGGAAGGATGAAAATCTACAACGTCGGTAGCAAGAAAACATATTGGCTTGAGTGTCGCAAATGGAAAATTACATTTTAGGGTAACATGACATGAGTAAAATCGAATTTTCCATATGTTTACCCTTAGGAGCCACTCGTCAAAATACCTTCATCCTACTCAAAATCGATGTACTTTTCAACCCTCTTCGAGGCTTGTATGGGAAAATGGGGCACCTAAATCTGTCACTATCTGACGGTCTATAAGTATAGGAAAGAAAGTGGTGCATCTTGACATGGTGGAAAAAAGGTGTATCATGCGAATAAGTGGTCAGATTGGTACCATCTGTTTTGAGGGGAAGCGGGAGGCACAAAGTGTTACGAAATTGCGGAGAAGCCATCGCCACTGCGCAAGACAGGTTCGTGAATATTCATGAATTTGTTGCCAGTGTGTGAATTAATCGAAGAAGCATTTACGAGAACTCTAGGGGCCGGTATTATAAAACACTGAACCGATGGTAGAGTTTCAACCTTCGGTTAAATCCTATCAATTAGCATGGAGTCAACCGAAGGTTGAAACTCAACCATCGTTTCAGTTTTTTATAATACCGTCCATAAGAGAGATTGCTCGGTTAAATGGTTTTGTAGATAAAGCACGTAGTTTATAAGTGACAGTTTAAATAAGAGATTTGTTGTATAAGTTAAGTAAAACCGATAAGTTATGAATGAATTTTGTAAGATCTTATAAAGTTTGTTTTTTTTTAAAGATAATTCCCCAAGTCAAAAATTTAGTAACTATGTTGGCAACACAAGCCTTTTCTACATAAAAACTTTGAAAGCATTGACAATTTTACATTGTATTGCCAACATAATGTCATTTTGACTTTTATCTTTGAAAAAAAAAACAAACTTTAAAGAGAACTTAAGTTGCTCCGGCGAAATTTTTGACACTATTACTAATAATAAAATAAATCTTAGTAGGTAAAAGTAATGCATATGGGTTGGAAGTTAAAGTCATTAGAAACAAGTCGCCATCTGAAAATTTCACATTTCACGAGCATATTTGTTTGTCCCAACTTTACACAGCTGATCTGATATGTATGAATTTTTCTCGAACGAAAAATTAATACTTTAATGTTATCCAGAATTAAAATTTATCTTCAACGTAAATGATTAATTAACATCCACATAAAGAAACACTGTTTCCTTTCAACGTTTCGGCACTTAAATTAATTAAAATCTTCGCGCCCACATTGCCGAAACAAATCATTTTCTCTGAAAGCCATAATAAGAAATATTGGTCCAAAGTACTCTTAACAGATCCTTAAATAAATCATTGAAAGCCTTATAAATCATTTAAAATGCTTTAGCGTATACCGTGAAATTGGCTTTTTGGATATATGAAACAGTAAATTTCAAGTTGACAGGGAAAACAGGAAGTTGTAAGAAATTATTAATTTTAATTTTTCCAAGAATATGTGATAAAACCAAAACCGCTTTGTTCGTTAGTACCTCTATAGCAATAAACTCGAAGAAGTTGTATAAGAGAACGGGTTCACTGCCAGCCCTCTCAAACGGTTCTAAATTTATTTCAAACATTTGGAATCTGTGTCTGCTTCGTTCAGCGTGTGTGTGTAACCAAACCGTCTTGTTATGTAAACAAAAATTTATTTGGCAGCTGAACAAGACGTAGTTCCCGGTTTCCAGCATAATTTGCAGCAGTTAAATGTAATTTTGCCCAGGATAATGGGTGCGCAGTGTCGATATTTCCGGAACAGATCTGTTCGGATAAAATTTTATGTTTTCGAGAAACTAAATTAAATGGAGAAGTTTGGGTTTTATATGGCAATGAACTGTTTAGTGAAGACAAGTTTATTATCTAATTGTAATGGGAAGGGATTAACTGTAGAATTAAATAAAAAAATTGTGTCTAGACCTGGTCTTTTTGGTCAATGTTTGAAAAAGTCTCTATATAATCACTGACACGTTATTATACAAACCACTATCTCAACTATCCATTCACCAAGAACTAACCTTGAGGACGACCTATTTCTAACCAGGATTGATGGTATAAACTAAACAACGATTAAATTCGTCAATTTCCAGTCAAATCAATCAAATTGACGTTCCAAAATTTAATAAGCTCATAGAAGACGAGGCGTTAATGATGACAAATTGTTTTAGCTGCAGGCAGCACAGCGTTTTGTTGGCACCTTGGGCAATAGGCTGGCATAACCACAGCTAACAGTGAACGGAGTGCCGTAGGCAGCTGACGGTGTGTCGATTGAAAATAAATGTGCGCGATGTTGCCATATTATTGAAAAAGAAAAAAAATATGTTTTTATGGAAATATTTACCTAATTTTTTGAAAACCTGAAGAGCTTTTCTGTTGTACAACAGCTTTTTTTTATGAATACTAACTTCATTTCGAGAAAAGTAAAGAACCACAATTTGGGCCTATTTAGCTCTTTGAATCTAATTCTAAAACGTGATAGAAAATTTTTGAGTGAGAATTTGGACAAATTAATTCGCTCATTTATTGAAAATTAGTTGAGAATGAAAATATAATATAGGCCTATTCGGGTTTGGAAAAAGGACGGTTCTAGAACGGTTCAAAACAATCGTCCAGTTTATTGATCAACAAAATAACAACGACTCGATTATCAC